TGTAGTGCTTCTAGCGAACCGGTTCTTAACCCTTATATGCTTTATTATTTGTATTTATTTATTTAGTTTTCATATATATATATATATATATATATATATATATATATATATATAATGGTTATTTAACGTATAACGTTTCCATAGTTCATAAAGAACTTGATATAAAGCCTTACGGTATGCATGCCACGAGTTCTTCTAGTGACCAGGTGACAGACAGGGTGGCCACAGTCGTGCACACCATCCTTGGTGCCACGACCGTGGCGTTTCGTGGTGTGTGACATGGGACGCAATGGATGGATGAGAAAGAAGCCGGAGGCATTTACTCTTTGACCATCCTGATTAGCCTTTAACAACTATATGTAATTATATAAAAAAAATAATTCATAATTTAAAATTTAACCCGATAAGTTTACTACTTCAAACCATTATTATTCACGTCATTCTTTTCTTCTTCTATCAACATACATAAATAAAATGTTGCCATCTCTCCAACCATAGAAAAAAATCCCAACACCCCAATAACAAATCGATTCTGGAATCTCGACAGGGTGTTTTTGCTAGACATGACCCCACGTAAATTTATAAGTTTAGATTCACCACAATGTGGTTTCAATTACTTGCTCCAAAGCCCCCTATCCCACAACAAACACTCTTCCAACACACTTTTCTACATAATTATGGTAAATTTTTAGTATGGCTTGTTTTTTATAAAATTATAAAGTTTAAATTAAGGCAAATTATATAAAAGACATTAAAGTGTTGTTTGTTTTTTCGAAGCAAAAATGTATGAAGTCTGCGGATCACCTCTACAACTCTCTGTAGCAGAAGAGGTGGAACAAACGGCTACAATTTTAAATAAAAAGTATGTTTGTTTTTTAACGTCTACAGACTGCTGCAGTAAGTTAAAGTAATGTGTGAAGAGGTTTGAAGCAGTTGCTTTAGTGCTGCGCCACGCAGCACACACACATCAGTTTTTAAGTCAGAAGTCTTCTGAAAAACAAACAGCTGCAAATGGTCAAGTGTTACGTGTGTGCTGCGCGGCGCATCAATAAGTGGTCTGAAGTGGTTTTTTTTTTAAAAACAAACAGCACCTAAATTTACTCAAATGTTTGCAAACTTAGATCATATGTGGAACCATATTAGTTTTTTGTCTAGAGAAAATAAAACACTTGAACCAAACCAATCGATTGTTTAAATTTGCAACAAAAGTATAACTTAATGATAAAACACACTTAAATGTTTTTGAACTTAAAAGGTTATATTTTTTTTAAAAAAAAAATAAAAAATTAGTATAAAAGTGTAAAATAACTTTTAAAAGGTTGTATAAAAATGTATAAAAAACTTATAAAAAATTATAACACAAGTTTAAAAAGGCTAACAGAAAGTACAAAAAAATGAAAAAAACTTTAAATTTTTTTATAAAAAGTAAATATGTAAAAATAATTTAATTTTAGGGTGAACTAAAAAAATGGACCAAATTCTTAAGAATTTCATAACAAACCTTAAAAATTGGACAAAAAATATAAAACTGAAAAATAATATGGTATACATGGTATAGCAGTAAAAAAAAATCATTATCTTTTGTGTAATCAATTAGATTTGTTAGAATTGAATACAATTAAAACAGTTATTTCTCAAAAATAGTATTAAATGTAATATTTTACTTTTTTATGGAAAAACTAAGTTTTTATTCTTTTTATATTTATAATATAATAAATGTATATCAACAATGGTCTCTAGTTATTAGGGCAATTTATTTTTATTTAAAAAACAATAAAGTGTAATTTGCAATATATAAAGTTTAATTGAAAAAAAAAACATTGGGATACTGACACATTGCTTGAACTGTTGAACATACTTTTTGGAGATGTTGGGTGGACTGCTGATGCTAATCCCCTCTTCACATCTCTTTAACCTTCTTTTATTATTTTTATTGTTATTTTGTTTTAATTATGATTCAATATCCACAAATACATGGCTTGAATTTTTTAAAGAGAATATAATATTTTGTAAGTTTTTATTAAATTATCATATGTTTATATATATATAGATCTAATTTTTTTAATAAAAAATAAGTATAATTCTACTACAAATTATTGGGAGAACCGCCCAACTCTACTTGTGGATCATATCATATTACAAAATAGAAACACTTCGAACCCGATTCCTTAAATGCCCATTACACAATCCCAAAAGTAGAATATCAACCCTAAATAATTATAGATCATGCATTCATAAATTAAACAACTTATAATATTGAAAATAAAAAATTGCTTCTTATTACATGTCGAAAATTCTAATCAAGTGTAGAGAAAAACCCTTTCATATCTAATTTTATTATTCTGTCATAAAACTATTTTTTCTACAATTGCTTAAAATTTGAAACTTTTTAAAATTGTGTTTGATGCACTACCGAAAAAACTAATTTAACTAAAAATTAAATTTTATTTGAAAAACTAGTTAGCAAGTAAAGTAATAAAATTTGGTAAACAAAACTTAACATCAACTATAATAAATGAAGATTCATTTTGTCACGTGTTAATCTCTCATGAGTTTTTGACACTTGTCATTTTATTATATTTTTAAAATAAATAATATTCACATGTCAATTTCTGGGTTTTTTCAAATTTTAAATTAAAAGCCACATAATACTTATATATATATATATATATATATATATAATATATATATGATATAGATCCGGTAAGAAATTTTTTTTGGTAGGAAGGTAAGAAGTTTTTTTTGTACATATTTTTTTGACGAACAAAATAAATGAATCACTAGATGATTCATTTGTAAGATGATTCACAAGAAAAAATTCCCAAAAAAACATCTTTATGATTCATTTTTAACTAAATTAAGAAAAAATTCACTTTTATGACAATTTTAGTGAATAACAACAAAATCATTGTATAAATGAATCATCGAGATGTTTTTTTGAGAATTTTTTCTTGTGAATCATCTTACAAATGAATCATCTAATGATTCAAATAAGAAGTAAATTTTTGGTAGGAAGGTAAGAAGTTTTTTTTTCTACATATTTTTTTCGCGAACAAACAAAATGAATCATTAGATGATTCATTTGTAGGATGATTCACAAGAAAAAATTCTCAAAAAAACATCTCGATGATTTATTTATACAATGATTTTGTTGTTATTCACTAAAATTGTCATAAAAGTGATTTTTTTCTTAATTTACTTAAAAATGAATCATAAAGATGATTTTTTGGGAATTTTTTCTTGTGAATCATCTTACAAATGAATCATCTAGTGATTCATTTATTTTGTTCGTCAAAAATATATATAGAAAAAAAACTTCTTACCTTCCTACCAAAAATTTTCTTCTTACCGGATCTATATATATATATATATATATATATATATATATATATATATATATATATATATATTAAATGTAATAAATGTGATAGTAATTATAGTTAATAAGTTTATTCATTCCTTATTTTAAAATTCTATTTAAAAAATACTTAACGTTTACATTTTAATATTTAATTTTTTTATCAACTCGTGTAATACACGAGTATTACACATAGTCTCTAATAAATGAAAGTTTTTTTTTGTCACATGTCTTCTTCTCATTCATTTTGCCACATGGCTTTTTTTTGGTTTTTTCATTTTGTTTATTTTCCACTTGTTATTTTTTGAGGTTTTTCATTCTTACATTTAATTTCCAAAATTTACGGTTATATATATGGAATGTTCTCATTCTATTCATATAATATTGTCATTTTATTAATTTGAGAATAAATTCACATAAATGTTACAAATTCATTGATTTACTTTCTTTTTCCAATCACTTTATCAGGGCCGGTCCTGAGGATTCAAATGCCCATGACGAGCTGAAAAAAAAAGCCCTTAGCCATAACATGTAACGAATTAAAATACATAAAGTATTTTTTTTTTAAAAAAAGACGATAAACTTTATAGCAATAAACAAAGCAAAATCATAGTATTTTAATGACTAATTACATATTGTACATCTAACCGACGACCCGTGAAGCTCTTCTAACATTACGGATATCAAATTGGTTGATCAACTTTTTGTAGTTTATACTCTTTAAGATTTCGTTCTCGGTGGATAAGTTTAGGTTTTACTTTATTGACAATGAATTAAATGTGTGATACCAAAAAAAAAAAAAAAAAAAATACGAGTCCAATACTTTTAAGTTTGAAGATAACATTAAGTTTATTAAAATAAAAATAGCGATGTTTAAAGAAAAACTTAATTACAATTTTAATAATATAGTTTTTAATTTTTTTTAATTAATTTAATTATTATAAAATTACAACAAAATGTTGATGAATTAACTAACTGGATCTGTTCGAGTTTTGATTTACAATCAAATGTTCGTCATTTTTAACAAAGTTTTATCCGTTTTAACTATTTCCATTGAGAACGCATAACTTAAAGTAAAATCAATTGCTTTTATAGGACAAATTGTACTCGTTTGTTAAATCCAGTAACCTCACATTCATAGTATTTGTTCGACTATCTTTCCATTAAGATATGGGCATAACATGAAGAAAGAAAAAAAAAAAAGTTGGGCCCACAAAAAATTAGGCCCTGTGCACAAGCCCTTATTGCCCACCTTTATAACCGGTGATGCACTTTATAAATGTTTAATATTTACATATTGATATTAAATTTTTTATTTTTCATAAACTCATGTAGTACACGGGTTTCACACCTAGTTGATATATTATATGATAAATATAAAATTACATAAAATAATATATTTGGAAAATTATTAATTATTATCAATAAAACCAATTTATGTATAAATTACTAATTTGGAAGATGAAATTAACATGAGTAGTACATTATGCAGTAAAAATTGTAAACCAAACTCAACGGCCACCATTGAAACTTTATTGGCGGGTATAACCGTTTTCAGGTGTGAACTCGATGGTGGTTCTCGGCCCCTTCTTATGGAATTTTGTTTTTAGCTTCAGACATACCATTCACCTTTCGGTGTTTATGTTCTTTATATTCTTTAAAATAAAATCTTACACTTTTTACCCCCAAAAAATGTTGTATAAAACCCATCTCCATCTGAAACTTAAACCTCCCCTCTTCTCCCATTAACAAAATTTGAATTTCTACTCCTTTTTTTGCTTCTGGGTGTTCCAAAAATCAAATCTTTTTTAGTGGGGGAGGGTGTTCGATTGTTAAGAATCCGTTGAATATTTTGAAGAAGATGATCTTGTTGAACAACGGATGCATTCTATGGAACTTGCTTGCGATTGTTGAGATAAAATTCTGTGTCGAGAAAAGTTTTTATTTTTGGATTTTTCAGATTTTCAATAGATACAATACGGATACTTAACAAAACCGATAATTTTTCAACATTGTTGTTTTAAGTTTTAAGCTGCTTTTGATCTTGTTTTTGTTCTATAGTTTTTTTCTGTGAATTAATTTTTAAAAAAATATGGGAGGGGCGACATTGCCACCAGGGTTTCGGTTTCATCCAACAGATGAAGAATTAATCGGGTATTACCTTAAAAGAAAGGTCGAAGGGATTGAAATTGAACTCGAAGTGATTCCAGTTATCGAATTGTACAAGTTTGATCCATGGGAATTGCCTGGTAAGTTCGATTTTTTAAAAACAAACTTGAAGCTTTTGAATGCACGCAACCTGTTTATTTTAATGCCAAACGAAACCCATTTCATGATCACTTTGAAAAAGGATCGGTTTTTGAGCTCTTTTGGGTAAAAAAACGAATCACCCAGATCACTAAACTTTTCAGACCATAATCTTGTTGCAGAATCTTTCTTTTTATCTTTAAAGCAACAATATTGGAGTCCTTTAATCATGACATACTTTTTAATTGGTGTGTTAATTATTTAATTACAGATAAATCTTTTCTCCCAAAACGCGATATGGAGTGGTTCTTTTTTGTGCCACGTGATCGCAAGTACCCGAATGGATCGCGTACAAATAGAGCTACAAATGCGGGGTATTGGAAAGCCACAGGAAAAGATCGAAAAGTGTTTTCAAGAGATCGATCTTCTTTGGTGGGGTATCGTAAAACCCTAGTTTTTTATCGTGGTAGAGCACCATTAGGTGATCGTACGGATTGGGTGATGCATGAGTATCGATTATGTGATGATGTTTCGGGAGGTGCACCAAGTTTTCAGGTATAAATTTGTACTAAAATACACTTGTATTTTCATTATTTTATTGATTTAGATAATTCATCATCAATTTTTATCGACCATTTGTGAAAACCATTTTTCTAGTTACAAGGGTTAAAATATAGAAAAAGGCTTAGCGTATGTTTACAATTTTATCGATATAGTAACAAAACTAATAATCTTTATTGATTTAGCTACTCAATTATTATTATAATAATTATAAGATAATTGTTTTATTACTAAATCAATAAAAAAAATATGAAAGTTCATTGTATCTTTTTGTATTTTAGCCTTTACAAAATTGGTAACCGACAAAATATGGTTTTTTTTTAAGGTTAAAACAAATATAACCATTGTACTATTATTATAATAAGGAAAAAAACAGTTGAGTGGCTAAATCGCTAAATTGTGAAACGCACATTGTATTTTTCTGTATTTTAACAAATTGGTGACGGAAGAAATGGTTTCTTTAAAAGCCAAACAAGTTTATATATTGGTCTAATCATCGCAAATAGTTGTTGAGTCGCTAAATTGAATAAATAATGAAAGTATGGAATGTTTTTTTTTCTTTTGGTATTTTGCGTTATAATTAATAATTTTGTTAAAAGCTTTAGGATTAAAGAATCTAATGATGAGTTGCATTTATAGGGACCTTATGCATTGTGTCGTGTGACAAAAAAGAACGAGTCAAAAATAAGCTATGTTAATAGTGAACCGAAAACCACGGAAATTGGAAGCAGTTCTAAAGGAGTTATAAATGAGCCAATGGTTCTTCAAACAAGCACCCGTATAGGCGATGAGAGTAATTTATCAAGTCCTCTAACTTCTTATGAGAAAATTTCTACATCCGAGAACGAACCAACTTCATCAATAGGCTTCAACAATTCTTCAAGCTTTTGGGTCTCACCCGATTTGATTCTTGATTCTTCCAAGGTACAACTAACCATATTCAACTCTTAAACAGCAGCATGATATGACAAAACACAGACTCTAGAATTTTTTGACCTGCAACAAAATAGGTCCAGAAGTGATGTCAATGAGAGAAAAACTGCAATTTTTTTGTCTTGCCAGAAAAAGTTGGAACAAGTTGTGATAGATAGTTTCTCAATCTCTCGTCTACCCAAAAAAACGTAAATGTCCTCATCCTCATCATTGAAAACAAACCTAGAAAGTTTGTCCACTCATATCTAATGTAACAAATGCAACCTACAAGATTACAAAATGATCTTTAAGAATAGTATTATTAAACGTGTTTTGGGGTTTATAGGAACAGTCGAAAGGACAAGAAGGGCACTTCGGGAATTTCACAGTGAACGAGATACCACACCCGATGAGTCCATGGCAACCTAATCACCAATTTGAGATCTCACCAAGTTCATCATACTCGAATTTTACAGATGAAGTTGAACTTGTTGATGATCTAAGTCGATTTGCATACATGTCACCATATTCAGGAAACCAAAGCTTTACGGGAATATTTGGAAGTGAAGATCAGTTTCCATTTGAGTTTTATGGATGAAGTTGAATATGTAGTTTCAGGAATGCACATAAAAATGTGTTCTTAAGTTATGTTCTATATAAAGGTTGTTGATTAATTTCTAGGTGTTATTTGATGCTTTATAGTAAGAATACGAAAATACCCCTGAGCTATAATCATTTTTATCGATTGTTGCTAGGAAATGTTGTAATTGCTGCTTGTATAAGCTTCTTTTATGGAAGCCATCTACTGTGAAATACTATCTTATTGCTTGTTTTCTAGTTTTGCATATTGCGGATTTTCATTACTTTCTTGAAAAGGGGAAGACAAATAGTATCCATTTTCCTATCCTGACTCTTATATGTATGAGCCAGGGTATTGTCATTTGTATAATTTATTCTTTTATGTAAATTACCTTTTTATTAACTTTTTCTTTACGAAATTTTCAAAGACTACTTTTAGGTAAAAAAGAAAGAAAATAATACATGTTAGTAAACATAAATTTATCCACCTACAAAAACAAATGATATATTAAAAACAAAAAACAAATGGCGAGAGAAACGACGTTTGCAAGACAAAATTGCCGACATGAGATTGTATAAGACGAATTACAACACATACCCGTATTGGAGGACAATGGCGGCAACCGACTTTAAGGAAGAGAAGATAACGATGAGAAATTTTATGGTGGTTTGTGCGAGAAAATGAGAAGTAAAAGTTTCAGTGGCAAAATAAGAAAGGCAAATACTTCCGTGCACAAATAAGAAAGAGAGAAAAGCTAACTGTAGCTAACGTTTTGAAAATTAATAGTATATACTAATTTCAACATTTAGTAACAAAAGAACACTAATGGAAAATAGATAATATAGTATACTCACATCTAATACGGTTGTAATGAAAACCATATTATAAAATTAATCTAATATAAACAAATGAAGAAATATAATACGGTTAATTAGGCGTACTAGATAATATTTCCAATTAAAATTTGTATTTTTGGAATTATTAACAAACTTTAGCCTCTGCATTGACCAATGGATGTTCATTTGACGCAACGTCAAAATTGAATTGATTGTTCATTTGTATTTTTCCCATTTTGCCCCTGTAGATCGCCTTCACTCTGGTCAAGTGGCTTACTTATCAAAGCATCGATGAACGACAACATCAGCTACGAAATTGATCGCTCACACTCTCTCACTCTCTCTTGACAAACTCCATCGCCTCTCTTCACCGGCGAGCACCTCTTCAAAACTCATCGCCGATTCAAAATCGATTTCAGATTCATGTCTCTTCACCACCGATTCAAAATCGATTTCTGATTCGTCGAGTCTTCAGTATTGAACAACCAACCAGGTATTCTTTCTAATCAATTGTTTAATTAATTTCGTTATACATTAACAATTGATAGAGTTAATTTAGTGTTCAAACTGTTCATTCTACTTCATATTTGGTCATTTGATTTCCGTTTATTAGAGTACAGTGGGAACTGTATATGCGTCAAACTTAGAGCATCTCAAACCCACTCTCATTCTCCATTTTTCCCCATTCTTCTCCAACCCTTCTCCATTTATTCCCCCATTCTGGGGATATGAATAGTATTACACCAAATATGGTGTTATACTATTCATTTCTTCCAAAATGGGGGTGAACTTTGCGTTGTCGATTTTAGTCTCTCTGTTATATTTTTATACATTTCTAGTTCATTTTTACCTACTAATTATAATTTAAATATAATATTTAATACTTATAATATTTTGTTATATATTACATTATATTAATTAATTATAAATATAAAGTTTATTTTTTGTTCATCAAATTCATATAAAAATTTAAATACATATTGAAATTTTAAAAAACGATAACGTATTTTACAAAAACTTATAATTAAAACATATATTACAAACACGATAACATATGCTATTAAACATGTAGTTAACCTATATATTACAATAATAATCTAATAAAAACCAACAAGTGACAATACTATTATTTATTTATTAATATTTATTTAAAAGTGTATATGTGTAATATTTCTATAAATGCATGTATAATATTTATTTATAAGTTTATTATAAATATAATCGTTTGTATTAAATATTAATGTAGTTAAAAAAATATAGATTATATATTTGTTAAAACTAAATTAGTAGAGGGGTGTGTTTGACAATCTATGTAAGTTGGAATAATGTAATATACTAGGAATATACTTTTTGGGGGTAAAAATGGGGAAAAAATGGAGTAGGGTTGGAGATGAAACACTATTTGCCCCATTTTTTACTCCATTTTTTGGGGAAAAAATGGAGGTGAGTTCGAGATGGTCTTACGTTTCTTCCTCTGGTTCGTTCTTTGCAGCTCAAGTTCCTCACCCTCATCTCCGGTCTTCATCAGAAAACCTTCCGCAACTATTTCCCATGTCGTCTGCTTCATCTCTGCACATTTCAATAACGATTCCAATCTCCTCAGCTTCAAATCCCCTCTCCTTTAGCGACATTTGTTCAATTGGATTTTCTGAGAGAAAGAAGGTGTTCATTCTTAACTTTGTTCCTAATTTTTGGATTTTCTTAGCTTCATTTTACATGACCCGTAGAAAATTTTGGGTTTTAGCTTCATGTTTTCACCGTGGTTTGAATATAACCTATGTCTTTTTTATAAATTGAAATAAGTAATTGAAACGAACAAACTGATGCCAAACTAAGATTGGTATGAATCTACGTATGTGCTAGATAATAATAATTGATTATATTGATTAGGAACTAGAGTATTCTCATTCTAATGATTTTTTAAGGATAATGAGATTGGTGTTACATCTGCCACTAGCTTTGATATCCTTATCCGGTTTGATTTAGGTTAAAATTATTAAAATGGAGATTGTTGTTGGTAATTTGGTATAGACCCCTTGGGGTTAACTTTGTTTATCTTAGTGCATAACTAAAATTTGACTGTTGATTTGAACATTCTAGAACTGAATGATGACTATGGTTTCATGAATAATGCAGGAGCATCCAAAATAATCGGAGTTTTGTTCATAGAATCATGTGTTCATCAAAAGAGCCACCAGAAGAGAAACAGGGCTCACATCAAAAGCATCTGAATAACTAAAGATGTGGTCAACAATCATCATAGTGGAAGCTACTAAAATGTGGAAGATAGCAGCTTCTATGCCTTGTCTTAGAGTTAATTCTGGTTAAGTTAAAGCTGGTAATGTTGGCAGGTAAATTTTTATCGAACATCTATAACACGAGAGATTTTTGGTGGAATTTTTCATTAAAAAACTTAAAATGAAAAATCTCTTTTTATCTCCACAATAGAAACATTATTTTAGTTTGTTATTTGTGGGACCCTTGTATATGTTGTCTATATACAATTGGTTGAAAACCCATGGATCCACCAAATCATTGAAAGCTTGTTAATTAACAAACTCTTTGAAAAAGTTCATCCAATAACTTCAATTTTCTTGAGTTTTTTTTTACATGAAAAAAGCTCCTATTGTGATGTTCATATTAACTAGTTATTTGGTTTCATTTCATACCCTTTTTTTGAGTAAATATTAGATATGCTCAATAAATTTGGAACCAGTTAACAGGGTGAAGGTTATCTTTAATTAATATACATTAACAGAGAAAATGGCGTGTTTAAAAAGAAACTTATTATTTTCGTGAACAAAAGTTAATCTATATTATAGCAATTTTTTTAAAGGTTGTGTTCAAAATAAACAACTCATTTTGATATTTCCATTTGTACACTATACTTGAGAGTATTACTTTATTGGAAGATCATAAACACATCCATAAGATACTTATGCTTTTGTTTTGATGAAACAGTATAGTTTTTTTTATTAAAGTAAAAAACTAAAAATACACATTTGATATATAAGAAATAGGGAATATTATGACCATAACTATAGCATGCCACCGACGTTATCTTTTTTAATGCACCTTGTGTGCAAGATTTTTTCTAAGGCATTGTACTTTTTCAAAATGTACCATTTATAACATCGTACTTTCAATTTTTCTTTTTGTATTTTAGACATTATCCTTTGAAAAATTTATCAACTACTTTGTATTTTGTAGAGAGATTGATCCTTCGGTCACAACTCACATGGGAGGGACAACGAGTTTTTGACATCATTATAAATGTTGATAACATGTTTCTAGAGATTAATATTGTCAAAATGAGTGGAGATATTAATAGTGCTCTTGTGCTAAATACAACAGTCCATGTTAGCGGGAGGAGTTTGACAATAATTTTGCAGCTTGTAAAAGGTAGTCATACCATAATCAGTGCCATAGAGACCATAGAGATCTTTGAAATTGTCAGAGCTGATGCCAAAATTTCAATTGTTTAAAACATTTCTTGGAATTTGAAGCTTTGAAAATGATTCTAATGAAGTAAAAATTATTTCTTTATGTTGTAGTAAAAGCTTTGCAGAAGTTGAACGGTACATTGGGTCTTCCTTTTCGTTTCAGTTGGAATGGTGATCCATGTGTTCCACAAAAGCATCCATGGAGTGGAATTGGGTGATGAGTAAGGCAGGAATGTCAACCTTTTTATTTATCTTTTTTTAATTGGTCACAAATGTCAACCGTCACAAAAAGGACAAAAAAAGAGGTGCAATAAGCTACCCTCTCGCGGTGGCCATACCGCAACACAACAATGGAGGTCGGTGTTGTGTGCAACACACACTGTTGTGCCACCTTGGCCACCGCAACGTGCAGTTTTAGGTGTACCGTGTAGCCTCATGTAACACCTCGATTTACCATGTATGAAAGTAGCAACCAAATATTAAGTGGTGCAATAAAATATTTAATAGTAAAAAGAATAACCTAAAACCCATATTTTACACAATGCTCGTATTTTTTTTGAATACCGACATTCAAAGAATATTTACTTGATTATATGTTATTTTGGTTACAAACATGGGTTAGATTAACACTTTATTTTTATAGAAAAATTTACCATCCGAAAAAAAAAGTAGTTAGGAGATTTTATAAGTGGCAACATGTTATTGGTTGATTGCCATGTTTATAGGGTCAAATCAGTATATTCTAAGAATAAAAATTTGATTATCGGTCTCATTGAAATCTTTTGTTCTACAATTTCTTCTGCATATTAGGATCAATTGGCTACATTTCGTGCACTACATTGTCCTAGTATGCTTGCAAAACTGAAGTTATGCCCCATAGAAAATAGGAGAGACAAACATAAATATCATGTCTACATGAAACCTTGATTGAAAAAATCGCATTTCAA